GCTCTTAAATCATATCCGAATTTTTCACAATTTCGTAATTCACTTTAGAATAGAATAGAATGGAATAGAATAGAATTCTTTATTGGCCAAGTGTGATTGGACACCCAATGAATTTGTCTTTGGTTGGTGCATTTGCTCTCAGTGTACATAAGGAGAATAAAATACATACATCAAGAATAAAAAGATTCAACACTTAGTGATAGTCAAGGTTACTAATAAGCTATCAAATCGTATTAGGAAACAATTAAAAACAATATAAATTGAAAGATACAAGCAACATGGAAGGAAGTGAGGTTGCAAAAGCCTGTTGTAGGAGGGGATTATTTTTGATACAGGCAGCCACAAGAGCTTGACATAACTGGCATAAAAAAAGAGTGGCATTTGTTTTAAAGCCGCCTTTGGGCTACCTTCTTCCCAAATGGCTTATAGAAAAGGGATTCAAAAGTAGTCCTACTCAACTCATTCTTTGTGAATAGACGTATTATTTTAGCCATGAAGTTAGGAAGGGGCTCTCAGAGGGAACGTATTATATACCTCTTACCTTCCAGGAACGGGGAAGGAGCAGAGAATGGAGTCCTGCAGGATCTTTGCGCTCTGCTTGTGGGCTTTGCAGGGTCATTTCCCGCTAACAGTAATAGGAGGACTGGGATAAATGAAGCCTTTCTTTAATCCAGGGGGGCCATTCCGTATCATAAGCCTTTCTCAAAAATACATAGGAGACCAGACTGGGAGGCCAGAATGAATTCTAGCCGCATGGTTAGCATTGGCATGCAAATACTCATATTATAATTAAGGCTTGTGTTTAAAACTGCCAGGATGAAATCTTGCCTCAATTATACCCTGCAAAACCTTTATTTAAAGTACCACATCCTTTAAGGAACGTATGTCTTGAGCTAAGTCAGTGGGGCATTTCTTTCATCTTAAAAGCCAGTATAATTTTCTTTCTTTCTTTTTTTGTTTAAAGAAACCTATAGAATGCAAACATGCAATCTTAATGCAACCTCCTGCATATACATGGGTCTGTCTTCATCTGTGTCTCTTCTCTTAACCAAAGGTGGTATTCAGCAGGTTCTGACCAGTTCTGGAGAACCAGTAGCGGAAATTTTGAGTAGTTCAGAGAAGTGGTAAATACCACCTCTGACTGACCCTGACCCCATCTATTCTCTGCCTCCNGCAGGGCAATAAAGATTAGGCTAGAAACAACACCAGAATGTTTCCTTCCTGCCTTCCTTACAGGATTAGCTCTGTAAAGTGGGAAAAAACAAAATGAGATTTCCTCCAACAACTGGTTCTCCAAATTGCTTAGAAAGTTAACAACCGGTTGCTTTATTTTGTTGTTGATGTTTTGAATCAGTTCAAAATTAGCTGTGAATCACAGAATCTGAATCACGGAATCGCTCCATTGCTGTTTATAACCTGGTTCAGCCAGCTTATCTAAAAACCAGAGCAAAACAGTCTTTTTCCTGTGCTGCGAATGCATACAACGTGTGTTTGAAAGAAGTGGGAAGGATGGAGCTGCTAGAAATTTACGTTATTCCCCTTTTGTGTGGCAAGGCTTAGATGAAGGGATTTCTGTTGCTTCGGGATTCCGGGATAGATCTCGGGGGACATGAAGTTGGGTAATTTGTCGGATTCTTCTATTGGTCAGCTGGAAATGAGCACTGATTGGTTCATGGTGGTTTCCCATCTGTTGTCGGTGTTGGGAGGTTTGCAGAAGTGATGACTGCAACTTGGCTTCAAGCAGCTTTGTTAAAGATTGGGGAGTGGAACTAGCCTCATAGTGTGTGGAAATACATTAAATCACTTTTCCCTTTCATCTGCCAGCCATTCATCCCTCTGAACACAGTAATAATTGTAAGCAAGTGCACAGGAGGCTCTTAACGCCTGTGCTATGTGCACATTTTTTGTGTACAGATTTTGTAAAAATAGCCATTTCTGAATTTCCAAATGCCCCTAAATGTTAATTTCTGAGTCTTCCTATTGGTAGTTCTATGTTGAAAATAATGAAGAAATGGATAAGTGCAGCACAACATTAAACAACTGGACTTATTGGGTCAAACAAGGGACTTCATGTGGTCAAAAATTGCATCAAAGATGTATAATTTGAACAGTATCTGAAAAAGGTTGTATCTTCACACACCCCTGTCTCCCTCTTTCAGCATTACATTACTATTTTGGGTCTGCGTATTAAAATAGTCTAATATTAGAATATAAAAATATCCTTTTTACTCAGAATCTAAAACAGGGGTGTCAAACTCAAGGCCTGTGGGCTGCATCCAGCCCACGGGGTGCTTAGTTCTGGCCTGTGGGGCTGCCCTGGAAACAGTGAAGGCCCTCCTGAGCTCTGTTTT